TAACCAACTACATCATCGACGCTAGCAGCTTTGAAATATTAACAATAGCGTTTTGTTTTCAAAAAATATCATAATTCCCTGAGACGCATTTTCATCATACGGCGAATAAACACTGGGATGAACACGAGCAATATTTCCAGAAATCTCCGAATAATTGTGGCAAATTAGCAAAATTCATCTTATGACATCTTATGGTCGGTGACATGGGGTGAAGTTAATTATCATATGTTATGTTTTTTTTTACATTGGCATATACAGATAATACTATTTAAGTATACTCAAAGTTAGTGTGCATTATACGCATGTTATGTACAGATGTAGAGCTTGTATTAGCCTTATAACCATATAAGAAAACTCAACAGTAACAGAGACTAAAATTCTCTTTTTTAAACTCCTATACTTCTTTACTCGCATGGGTTGAGCGGAAATTCGATGAAGCCAATTATAAGCGATTCTCTCTATTGGGTCCACTGCTGTAATAATTTCAGATACAATATTAACCGATATTAATACTCAGCCATAAAATGATATACCAATTGATATTAGTACAAAATATCAGCAGAGGATATTATTTATTCATCAGACATATTACCGATGGTCTTAATTAGAAGATTCATTTATAAATGACACATAACACAATGCAAATCAAGCATATTTTAATTGTTTTGATTCCAGCATTCTTAGACGTAATCCCGAGGGGCCCGGCTTCGTGCGTGAGTCCAGGGGAATTAATAAACGGCCACTCGACGGCCACAGACTTCAGTGACGGCGTGTATGAAAATGGTGCGACTATAGAATTCACGTGTGACGAAGAATATACCATAGAAGGGCTACATCAATTGTCTGTAATGATGCCAATTGGAGTCACGTGATGCCAGTCTGCGTACCAGGTAATACAAAACAAACTATTCAAGGAATTGACCGTTTTCTATCCAAATGGGTGTAATTTGTTTGATATCGTTTCACATGTTATATGACGCATTCAGTTAGTTTTATTTACTGAATACATTCCAACAAGTATCGAGACTGTATACACGACCCAGTGAAATATTTATTATATAATATATCATTACGCACTCAATCTGTTTTCTATTTTGTCTCATGCATGCGATTAATATAACACATACGAAGGTCATCCATAATAATAATATTATCAGTAAACACAGACGCGTTGTCATGGTAATTGTCGCGTATAAACTTGTTTTCCTGTTCCATTCACGATCAAAATATGATTAACTATTTTGTGCGCAATGAAGATGTACTATGAACGACACAGACGCGTACCCTATTGGTTGTAAGTTTATACAATACTCTATAATTGATGAGAAAAACTGTGATTCTCATTTTTCAATCACGAAATGTACAGTTTTATATCAGGATTGATTATAACGTAACAAATACTGAAAATTATTTCATTAATGATTCTGAAAATGTCCCCAAACAATATAACTCAATCCATAAGTCAATTGTGGTTCGAACATGCAATTTGAAAAATTTTGAACTATGCAATTAATAAAATGATGGGCTCTCGAGTCATAAACTGACCTTCTAAATGTGATGCGGTAAGTGTCTTTGCTCAACTTATGACCTTTTGCAAACAATGTTGTTGTTCTCAGTCGATCGCGGAGAGCCGTGTAAAAACGGAAAATGAATGATCAACATCGTAGTCAAGCTGTTAACGTGAGTCGTGATAAAACAAAAATAATTCAGATCACACAGAAACAATATACTTCTTATTTGAAAAGTCGTTTTTAATAATCCTTTAACTTTTTTCAGTTTGAAAAACATTTTGAATATTGTTTGATTTAATGTTTTCATGTTCCGCAAATGTAACGCAAATGGACGGTATTGTCTGTATGAGGGTTCATCTTGTTTAGTTAGTCATGGCATGTTTCTGATCGATGCAGGCAAGAAATGTGACCCGTAGTATAGTATAATCTCCTGATCTTATAAATTCAATAATTTGTGTTAAATGATTATTGTAGCCACTGCAGTGAAACCATGACAACCATTATGTGTAGTTGGTACAGATACGTACCAAACTTCCAAGCAATTTGAATTCTAGTTTTTAAGTTATAGAAAAAAACATTTTATCAGTCGGTATGATGCTATACTTCACCCATAATTCCTTTGCTGTGAGTAATAGTGGATGGTGGACTATATAATACTAATGTAAAGTTGAATATCTAGAGAATGAAACGTGATATAAAAAAAAAACCTGTGAATTGCATTCTTCTACATTTATAGAATTCGTTTATCTGAATTTACTTGCACTTTCACTTTAAAATATTTTAATACTTAAACAATAAACAAACATGTGAGCAATAATTTCGTTTGAGGTACTCATTCAGAAACACACAGGTGTATGGAAATCAACATAGTAGCTGAAATTCGAGACAGCTCGTACAATAAAATAACAAGTCACAATAAAATCGCTTACGTGTACTTCAGTTACTACATAAGCATTGCTAATATCATCATGTAGAATCGTCGCTACGTTTATTCTACAAATGACACAGAATATCAGCTGACGGTGATGACGTGTGTAGGTTTTTTCTAATATTATATTAATAAGCTGTATGTAGTCGGCAATAGTAATTTGTTATTAAGTATCGTGGAGTACATACAAAACTGTTTTTTTGTATATTATGAAACCTTGTTAGTCCGTCGTTGCAGCACTACATTTCAGTATGATTTAAATTTAAATATTACAATTATGTTGAGATTCATACTATCACACACCCATCAACGACAGAGAAACATGACCCTGTTAAATCGTGTTATACGTGTGTCTATTATTAGTTTACTAATTGAGATTTTATGGCAATGTAATAGTACATGGTTAGATACATAATAGATTCTGATATGCTGTCGACCGCCAAACTGGTGAGTAATTTGCTGAAGTCAGACAATACAAATTTCAGTACAATTTTCTGCATAAGATGTCTTCATAGCCATTCCATTATGCATTTGCCAACGCCCCATTTGGTGGCGGAATAGTTAGAACAACATTTAGATACTGTATATTTAAGAATCATTATTATCTGTACGATAACTTTTTGTGCTGTAAAATCTGTATTGATATTTATTGAATTCACCGTTAAAAAAATACTTTGTTACACTCCAATCATGCCTTTTCAGTTAGCAAACGAGGCAAATAAAAAAATAACGAGTAACTGTTTTCCCGCAATAAGTCTTTTCAGTAAACGTTGATAATAGCCTATAGTGCACAGAAACAGAAATGTGGAATAAATTTGATCTAAAAAAAACTTTCTTTGTATAGCATATAAAACTTAGGCATGTAAATTTGTATAGACATGACATTAAATAACTTCATCTGAGTCGTTTGCATTGAAATAAGGCAGTACTTGTAATGTAAGGTGATGTTTGTTGTTCAGCTGATCGCGAACCTCGGAAATACTAAACACAAAACTATTAGGCCTGTCGTTTGTATTCTTCCGCAGTAAAAACAGGAAGCACACTCGTATTGGTGGTGTGAATACTATAACCTGCCGGATATTAGTACTCCGTCATAGATGAAAAACTCTGTATTATTGGCAATATTAAATATATTTATATGAAATAGTTATAGCTCGTATTGCGGAAACAATTATTGTAGCAGAGTTTCGTCTTTCGTGTAATTTCTATGATGTTACACAGAGTGGTTACGAAAAACAGTATTCGTATTCGATGCTTCACGACGTACCGAGTTAATAGTTCTAATTAGATTTCTAGTAGGTAAAAAAAGAAATAGTTTTACCGTGAGTATGTTTTAATTTTTTTATTTTGCTGCTAATTTAAATTTTAGTACTGTACTGTAATCAATGTTTTGGTCAAAATAATTCTAATATATGCTGTTATTTAAGTATAATATCTCGGTAACAAAATAGGTCAGAAATACTTAGCTGCATACCGAATGAGCCACTACAGCACTAACATTACTGTGAAAGTATGTGCTGTCGTGGGAACATTTTCTATCGTGTTTCATACGACAGAGAATGGAAAGCATTCTATATTATAATATTTCAGTGAGTAAATTTTTAAGTAATATATAATATTATATTTATATCTGGATCAGAACAGGGAGAAGCTGGTACAGGCACTGCAATGAGTTATCAATGCCAAAATGTTAATATATTGAGTAATTTGCCATAAAACTCCCCTTCGTCATCTTTTATGGTAGTAGTGTATTGAAAAAAAAAATGCTGGAAGAATTAGAAATGTGCACTTACCGGGTCTGTAGTCTGTAAATTGTGTTTGCTTATTTTATGTGTGCGAGTATGTGTACATGTGTATATTACCACTAGTTCGTTGAAATGTAAAGGATTTTTTGTTGATTTTGTCATGCGCCACGCTCTTCTAGGCCTATGTTTTGCGTTTCAAAGCACGAATTTTGAATACAAAATCTAGAACGCACACTACAAGGTGGGTAAATTCTGACACCTCAAAATGTATACTAGAATACAAGTTTACGAAAACAACAAATCCCAAAATTAAGGTAGAATGAATATATAACGCAATATTATCACACTATTAACATTAATTGTTATTGCATTATTTGCTCAGGGGGGTAGCAATGCCGTGAGCTAAAATGTGGGATGGATTTCAAAGCCGCTTTTACCGTGATGAAAATGTATTAATAATATGCAGCAGAAATATAACCAGTGAAGAAATTCTTGCATTGTAATAAATCTACCGTAAACAAATTAATAACGAATCGAATAGCATCATTAAGAAGTTTTATTCTCTTTGTCGCAATCGTACGACATCGCAATTGGCAAACAAAGACTATATCAAAGGAACGGACCACCGCCACACTCGGTAATAATGACGCAATATTTTGACTTGCGGCAAGGACTCGTGATGTTGTTAGGCAATTCGTGACATGATTTAATAACTTCAAGCAAGCATAACAAAAGATATGCGCGTGATTGAGGTACAATAATGGCGATGGTATTTTTAAAAAAAATAAATTGACATTCGTTGGTGTGGACTATTTCCATATGTTTTAATCAATGTCATAGCTATATATATTGAAGTGATTATTTAATTACATGCCTTAATCCATCCATTCAAAACCATAAAAGGATAAAGCATACAGCGTATATTCTAACATTTAAATTTAATTATATTCTAGCATAGATATGCTAAGCAGTACACACGTGAAGTGGTAAGATATCACTTGAAGTCTTTCATTAACATGTTCACCGTAAAAAGTCGGATGTATATTTGTCAGCATTTTCTGTTGCGGTGGGCGGAAGTCTGCAAAAATGCGGTGGACGGAAGTCTGCAAAAAAGCGGCGTGCGGAAGTCTGCAAAAATGAGATTTTAATCTGTATTACCTTCGTTTGTAACGGGTTTTTATGAGTTATAAGTGACCGAACAAAGAATTAATCCATTCATGGTCAAATAATGAAGAACATAGTCAATATATCTTCATAAATTCAGACAAATGATATTAATTTAAATAATTATGAAAATGCACACTCTGCTCCAAATGTGCCCACGCTCACGATATGAAACATTGTGAGTTAATGTCTATACCAAATAGGTAGCAATCAGACGTGTCATTGCACGATTTATATATGTTTAAAACCCTTTGATTTTGGGAGTCATTTTCTAGAAAATTTCCCTGATTTAATTGATTGTAGAAGGCTTAAAAAATGGCATTTCAAATTATTTGCCCTGAATTAGCGTGTAGGCTGGCGAAGGCTCATCTTGTGGGTTTCGTGGAGTTGGCAATTGACAATGACTAAATATAGTAGAAAGCTGAAATTTGAGTAAAATATAAAATCTTTCAACTTGTATAGTGACAGATATGCCATTTTGTGATTTACTTTATCCCAAGCGGGATACACGTTTATTTACTAAATGTATAAATGATGGCGTCATATATGTGAATGTAAAGCATTTAGATTCCGCGCATTTTTTATCTCAACCAATTTGTGACGTCATCGTCATCAATGACCATATAAGAAAATGTTCAACTGTATCTTGTAAAGTAATACTGCACGAATACACAGAGAGCTAATCAGCCTTTTGTTTAATTATACTCTAGTGGACAACAATATTGATATTGATAGTGGCAGCGGTTTTGATTCACGTAAGTTACCATCGTTACTGTTCAATTAGTATCAATCAACCGGAGTGAGTTCATTGTCTTGGAAGCAGGCCACTACACACGAAGTATGGACTACAAAGCAGCAAGTTATTTTCGAAAGATTAAAAGAACGTATATCGCAAAATTATGATTTGATTCGATGTGCGAGCAGTTCTTATTATTATTACATGGCATTGTTGCTTAGCTGATATGCATTACAAATATGTAATATCCGATCTTTGTACATTTACTTTAGAGGCTAGATCATGCAGCGACCCCGGCAGTCCAAAACACGGTTATAAGCTTACACCAATGGTAGGTATGAACTATGAGAATGGTAATGTTATCGGGTTTGCCTGCAACGACGGGTACTTATTGAAAGGCTCCAGTGAAATAAAGTGCGAGAATTCAGTGTGGTCGGATGATTTACCATTCTGTTCAGGTGAATGATTTATTTCTTTATCATATATCAATGTTAAGTGAGACAATAATTACTTTTCAATATATAATCTCTCCTCCCCTCCTCCTCAGTTGGGGTAATCATTACATAAGCCTTGAAGATATAATGATTCGAGTACGATGCACATTTGTAGGTTTTGTCGATTGTGTGTTTGGTCGTTGAATCATTGATGTCACTAATTAGGAACCAATTATTAAATAAAATATCTTTGCCGACTGCTAAATACTCATCATAAATTTGGAGAGTGTAGATACATTATGTAAAAAACTGTTTGTGACCATGACCATGGTCATGAAATAACCTGGTTACAGTTATATGTTGATTTAACGCTCGATCATTATCTGCACTCGTTTCGCATACTTTTGGTGATCAAATGACGTTTAAATGGTTGCACATGTATCACAGAAAAAACAAACAAGACATCCAGCTAACAGTCACTACAGTGCATACAACGTAATGTCGTCTTCCATTTCTAACCATACTGTTTTACTGGATCATTTTTTTCAGGTTTTAGTGTCACATGTTCCGCTGAAGATATCCAAGTTATTGTTCTTAAAGAATACATCGAATATATAGATGCGTCATTGTTATCCTTGCAAGACTCGTCTTGTCGACCTAAAGACTCTGAGACCCATATTGAGTTTATGATTCCTCTGAAATCGTGCGGAACACGTGTTGAGGTTAGTCTACAAACGATCATACATTGCAGTGTAGTTTGTGCTAATTAATATTAACTAAAGACGAATGTTTATTTGTAAACACTGAAAATAAATATTTCTTGCTCCTAGAGAGAATGTGAATGAGATACTATATCGATAGGTTAAAATGTGTCAGAAATGCTTAATAAGAGTGGACACTTGTCCAAAAGTACGATTTAGATATTACTAATGATATTACCCAAAAGATAGCGAGTGTAAAATCTCCTTGTGCACAACCCTGCAGCTGGAATCGTCAATGGCCGTTCGTGTCATCACCAAATGTATTGTTATCAATTTGATCGATCATGATCATGCAATTCACAAAGATCAATTGTTTCTAAAATATTTCTCTACAACCATAAAAACTAAAATATCGGATGTCCACACTACCATGACATCGTGTCCTCGCATTAGAGACTGTGAGTGAGATTAATTAATCTCAGTTTAATCGGTGTTTTTACAGTTAAATATCCGATTTTTTTATTTTCAAATTTACAAATGTGTTTGGCAGATCGATTAATATATATTTTTGCAGGATTTCGCGATAACAATGGCAATTTATAATATGCTAATTATATGCTAAACGTTCATGATCTTAACAACGATTAATCTCACGACTAAATCTTTGTAACAAAAACAGAGCGTATGAAAATGTATCACTGTTCTTCAGTTGACTTAGCATCGAAACACAGAATTTTTAAATAGCTTGAATCATCGCATGTAACAGCGCGTATAAATTCATGTGCAAATTACAAGCAATTGAAACTACAGTAGACAATGTAATTTGAAATACCAGTACTCAATGCCAAGTTCCCATATACATTTGATAATATAAACGGTTAACTGTTAAAAAAACTGCCTGAAACCAGAACTAGCTGAACTGGGTCATAAGTGTAATCGTGTGACAGATAACATCAACAACTTGCTCTGTGTAACATTAACCTTTGTTTTATCGCCAGGAGACAGACGAGTATTTCGTGTATTCTAATGTGCTGCGGACACCACCTGTTCCATCCGATTCCCCAATCAAAAGATATCCTGATATACTGATTCCGTTTCAGTGTCAATATCCACGGCGCATTAGCAATAATCTGGTTCATAAATATGAGGTAGTCAATGGCAATACGCTTATCGACAGCGACGCCGAGATGGGTGAATTTCACTCAAGTCTAACATTCTACCATGACAACGACTTTTCTGGCGTGTATGATACGGAGACCCCCGTCACCGTCAGACTCAGAGAAGATGTATTCTTTGGTATAGACGTGAGTGGAAACGGCCAGGCCATGGCCGAGTGGAAGATGAAGACTGAGACTTGTCGGGGTAGTTCATCTCTTCATCCTACCGGTAAAAATGACGAAGTGTACACGCTATTTGACAATGGGTGAGTATTTGAATACTGTGACACTATCGGTATAGAGTGAATGTGATCACCTAGATAGAGTGTGTGGCCAAACAATAATTTGTCTCTGATACTCTTCTAAAAAATTGTGTACGTTTATTTGTAGATGTCCAGTTGATGCAAGCTTCAGGCAGATTCAATCCGACAATCCACTGGGGGAGAAATTTGCCATGCAATCGTTTCGATTTAAAGACTATGACCTAGGAAATGAGGTGAATGATTCAGTTAATTAGCAACTGCGTAGGTCAATTTCATGCAAAGAGACAAGGACGTAACATGACTGGCCAGTATGTATGTCTACGTAGTAGTAATATTTTGTTCTGGGTATGTTGAGGTGAATGGATGATACACGTCGTTCAACTAACATAGTGTTACAGTATATACGTTCAACAAAAAAATACAGCATAGTTAGAATGCATCACTGTACATACTTATTCTAAAAGAATAAAATGGGTTACCGCGGAAACCATTCCAATCAGGCTAAACGTACGTTCGTCGATTGGTATATTATTAGCTTTATGGGATGTAGATTTAACGACAATTTTTGCGTTATCATAAATGTCAAACATCCGTTATCTTTCTGTTTTAGGTTTATATACACTGTGACATAATTCTATGTAACAGAAGTGATACCCATTCAGCATGCGATGTCGACTGTGAAACCCCTGAATTACGGCGTCGTCGATCTGATGACAGCATGGTCAAAACTATCTCCGTGTCTAAGGGACCTTTGATATTACTCGACGATGATGTTGATGAAGGTAGATGCTCATGTTATCATTAGTGTCATACATTATCGTTCCAAAATCTTTATAATTTACCAAATGTCTTTTTTCATGAAATAATCATGGACAAAACTTGAAATCTGTGTTTAATAAGTATCGTACAATATGTTGTTGTAATGCAGTTTTCGCGAAGTAATGAGATACAATCATGATCAGTTTGTTCTCTATTCATATGTTCCAACAAAGAAGTGGTCAATAAATGTAATTAATATATGTGACTATGCGTTATTGTGTTTACAACAATCATTATCGATTCATGTTTAATTTATTCATGTTTCAATATGTTAGTCCGTAATGTACGATGTGGGACTTTAGGTGGTTTTGCATTACGTGCTTTACGTCACATCCGGTGAATAGACTTTGCCTGATATGACGTATCGTAATTTACGTTAATCTTATTTGTAATTATAATTAGGGTCAGGTGATAAGATGTATAATAATTTGCATATATTCTTTAATCATCGTTGTAGATTCTACCCACAAAACTGGAATATTCAAAGCCAAAGCGGTCGGTGCGTATACCGGAGTCATAGTGGTTGGAGTAATCTTGTTGATAGGGCTTACACTTATCGTGTCGAAAAAGACCAAAGAAGCGCAAAAATGAAGAAAACTTGAAGATGGAAATCAAAGATTGTAGAATGTTATATGCGTGTCACGTGATCTGCCGCGTTTATCCTGGTGACTATTCAGTTTCTAGAACCTGATACAACTATCGCCAAATAAATTATGAAATTATTCTAAGCTACATAAAATATAGCACCGCGTCACCATAACGACACGGTTTGTTTGTGTGTAAAGTTTGGGATAAATTTGTTGCGCAGCATTTAGATCTTAGTCTTCACAATCATTTTAAATACATATTCATGAGCGTGATTAATAATCTCGAATCAGACAAATTAAGATTTGCTAAAATTGAGAGTCGGAATGTTTCCCTGGGCGGTATAATATGCCAGATACATAGCAGTGCCGCCAATCAGTGGAAAGCTTAATTCTATATAATGACTGTTAAATCATAGAAATATGTTGCTCTTTCTCATATTTATAAATAAAATAGTATTGCATACGAGTATTAGAGTAGTAATATAAATAATATGATCAATTATGTCTGTAATACGATCAATATTATGTGTTGAGAATAATGAATACATGAAGACAGTTAAATAATTCAGTATTCCATAACAAAAGTTGCACTTGTGTGAGTATATGTGGTAAACCACGTCATGGGTATTGACGTCACGCTCACAACACTTTATATTATTTACATTGAACGCAGAAGCGCTATGGCGTAGTGGACGTATTGAATTGCTTTTGTCTTTGTTGTTTTTTACCATATTCCCACTAGAAAATGTTACCTCGGCGTTAAAGGGGCGCTTTCAGTTAAGCCTAATCTCACAACAAATTCATTTTCTGGATTAAAATTACAATGGATAACAAAAGATAGATTAACTTTGTAAACAACATAAACAATATTGTCCCGTAATTCTTGGTGCAATCCCTGGGCTTGGAAGTTGTGTCCGGGTATTAAATGACAACGATCTCACAATATTTCGTTCACAATTCTTACAGTACGCTTATAAATATGGCGCCTACTGTACCGTATAATGCACGCAATGATCCTGACTTGTAGTTACTAACGGTCGAGTATATAGTTCAAAATTCTTGGCCATGTGAAATGTCACATTTTAATGCAGAAGTATAGACTTTGCATAATGGGTACGTCGGTGACGACCCTTCCCACCTCCAAGAGGGTTTAAAACTTCCCCATTCTTAACCCCATTCTTAAACACATCTGTTTTTCTCTGATTACGAAGTATCTTACACAAGGCAAACAAAAACATGTGAAAGCGAGATAAACTTCAGACAACCACTAAACGGGACGACGATCAAGTGTATACATATAATATGCATTGCCCTGTGTCGTATCCAATACACACAGATTACGAGCACTATACAATATATGATTTATCAAATCTTTGTAGTTATTATTAGTATTAATAATATAGCTAATGTTCTCACTATTGACGATCCTACTGATTTATTTTTTTAAAGAATCAATAATAATATTCCAAAATTATTTTTTTTTTTCAAAAATCATGGACAGTGATGTTGACATTGACGACGTGATGTATATATTCTGTCCCGGTAGTGCCTGTGGACATTTTCATAATAGTGGCGCATACAATTTTTTTCAAACACATTAGCGAATATATATCTAAATTTCAGAAGATTTTTTTGTGGGTGTGACATACAACATTGCATATTTGTGACACATTATCAATACTGTCACGTGCTCAGTGTAATTTTTACAGCCCCGTTTTTTTTATTTCACTTTCCTCCACCGTGGGAGTGAAATGCAGGAACCGAGACAGATGAGTCCAATTATACGGATGAAACGATAGTGACAGAAAGCGTGAAGTTGTAATGGCGTCACTAACGTCACGGAAGTTTATTGAAGTTTATTTAGCGCAACCATAGACCCTCAACAAAGAGTCTATGGCGCAACAGAGAGGATACCATGCACAGGTAATGGATTGTTACAAACAATAAAAATACTGACAATGCGTAATCGCCGCGTGAATACTTGACGAGGTTTAGCTCGCGGCGCATCCTGTGAACGATTGTATCCCGTAATATGTTGTTACTGAAATCATTGCTCACAATTGCCTCTGATGTGGAAGGCAAGATTTTGGACATCTAATGTCAGAAAATCACAGCATTTCAGAAAGTCGCTACCACACCTGAGTCACTGTTTGTTACGTCGAAAATGTTTGGTGCACTTAATCGTTGATCTTTTCCCCTAGTGCATAGTAGTAGTACGAATTAATAACATTGTATATGTATTGATTTTCTAATTAAAAAATATGAAATCAAGTGAAATTTTCGCTACACTTTAAAGTGTATCACATGCAGGAGAGTCAGGGTCAAGACTTGCCACCAGTAATCGATTGAAACAGGAAGTGTGTAACATTGTATTCAAATACAGTGTCTTTTGTAAATGAATGGCAATTATGGATGCGTGAAGTGAATCTGGAAAAAACGCGCCATTTAACCTCTCTAACATCAGCCACCAACTATAAATTACATTACAAGTTTTAATTTTAATTAATAAAATAAACGCAGAGCAAAACGTGACTAATCCGTTATGCGGGAGTGATCAACATTCAATATCACCACAACTTTCTAACAAAACAAACTTTCGACTAAATAAAGTGTAAAACAGGTATAACGACGTCTTTCTAAAAAGCCCACTTTTCCTGTCTCTAGAAATGGTTTTCGACAAAATGATGTGCACCGATCAAATTAAACTAATCAGTACCATGCATTTTGATATACCTAAATTGTTATTGTTTTTGAGTTGTGATATAATGTAAGAGTGAAATGTAACAATCTAACGATACCAAGTCTGTGTACATTCTGACATACTTTATTCTAGTTTACGTTCTCGTGCATAGCACGCTGAGGTATTGTCATCGACGATTCTCGACTCGGGCTCGCTGTACGACGTATACGGACTTCAATTCAGTTAGTTTGTAGATAAACTCATTTTAAAGTTTATCGAATATTCACTTGTTGGGAAACAAAACCTCCACCTCATGAAAAATCAGTTATTGAAATTTTAAACAAAAGGATAGGTTTTGTCAGCACGCCACTAGAGGGCGGTGTAAACATTAACTGAGTGCATTTCGTTTGAGCGGTAGTCCATAAAACTTGGAAGGGGTCAAATTGTTATTTATTCACCATGTGCAACAATTAATTATATAACAAAACGTAAACTAATTAGAGCACTTGCGATACAAAAGACAAAAGTGTCGCGAATATGGCATTTGATATTGTGTTGATTAGGTACATTACATTGTAACAGTATCTCATCACTAGATAGTCACAGTAATTCTGACACAATATTAACAAATAATTAAAAGCGTCACTTAGATTTTTATTGTATATAAAAAAAAAGTGAGAAAAAATCAGTAAATCGGCGGAAATGACGAATTTAACTCTGAACTTCTGCGCGTACGTACTAACTGGTTTGTTCAGTGTACGCCGCGAGTCTAACCTCTATACACACAGTTTGATTCTGTTCCATGCAAGAATTCCGTAATAAATTTAAGGTTTCATGGGAATTTATAAAACGTGTCTTTTTACAAATATGATTTTAAACAGGCCGATATAGATGAATTTTGTATCATCTTTGATTGTACGTTGATTAGCCGTACCAGCGTTTGCCATTATTTTGTTGAGTTATTATTATATTTGTGGGAGTCTTTCGCACAATCAAACCAAATAAAATCACGGAGGATCACCAACTTCAAGGATATATCATCAAATACGTAACCGTGTATTACACACATAAGATTAATGAGAAGATATACAAATAAAGATTTCCTAATACAGTAGTACTTGAATAATAAAAATAGTCATATAAAAGACGCATAAAGAAAACATAAATTTAGTAGAATGCTCAACGTACACACAGTAGCTGTAGTGGCATGATAAAGTACAATGACTTATCGAAAGAATTTCCCAGCACCTCCTACCTAACATCTACATAATAACAGTGACGTACTAGTATATGACTATGGCCTCCAATCATACTGGGGAAAATAATGAAACATTTGTCAATAAAACACAAATTACTATTTATAAACGCATAAAATTGCATAGCTATTAGTAAATTCTTCTGTAAATTCTGCATAAAGACATGCAAATAAATTCCCAGGAAAACGAGCAAACAAATTAGAACAAAATCTTCGAAAATACACAACACAGTAAGTACTCGCTCAAAAAATCGTAGTAAAATGTATTGAATAATTAACCACACTGTAACAGATCAGGCCAAACAAATGAAAAATCAAAAGCTACCAAAGCGGGCGCTATATCACAAGCTCACTATGAGAATTTTTTTCTCAACAATATCTGCATAGTTTTAAAGCGACTTATGCAATAATTTGCATGTATTTGTATATGAATAAATTTGAGTAATTATGAGCTAGTGAATATTCACGGGATGAGTAGCATATAATACCGTATGAATGATTTAATTATAATAATATCGATATTCACATAATTATGATATAATTTACGGAAAATTTCTAATATATATATATATATATATATATATATATATATATATATATATATATATATATATATATATATATATATATATATATATATATATATATATATATATATATGATATAACTATGTAAATTATTATATATCATTATCATATAGTTATATACGCTAATCATCTCATGAATATGCTAATTATTCTATTCATAAATAAATACATGAAAATGTACTATACTACAATTGTATTGCCGTGTTGTCACAAAAAACCTATTACTCAGGTCACATACAAATGATGTTACAAAAAATCAATAAAATATGAAGCAAGAGTGTTTTTTTTTTCCGCCCTGTTGGTGTAAT